CGCTGTCCAGTACTAAAAGTGACACCCCTGTCACCTCGGAGGCCCCGATCGCTGCGGAGACTCTGGCCAATATGGAGTCTCATTTGGCACACTTGCCTGATGTGCAGCGTGCAGACGTATGGGAGCTGATCTTGAGGTGGAGCGCCCTGTGTCGTACCGCTCCGGGAAATTCAATCCCCACCAGCGGGTGTGTTCCACCATTGGTTCCACAGTCGAAAAGGAGGCACTGGCTATGGTTCTGGCTTTGAACCATTTTGAGGTATACGTGGGGTCATCAAACATTCCTGTCACTATTCTCACCGATCACAACCCCCTTGTGTTTCTGCAGAGAATGCGTAACACAAATTAAAGGTTGATGCGGTGGAGTATTTTCATGCAAGCCTTCAATGTTGAGGTCAAACACATTCGTGGCAAGGATAAAATGTTGGCTGATGCATTGTCGCGCTTATAATATAGCAGTTATTGTGTGTTGTTAACCTGTCTGGTGTGTGGAATGAGTGGTGGTGAGCACGTCTGTCAACTAAGGTTGTTTGTTGTGATTGTTTTGTTTAAAACATTTTATTAATTTTTTTAAATCACTAACTCATGGTGGGGGTGTTACGTACTCCCCCCCCCCCCCCCCCCCCCCATTTTTTGTTGTCCTCTTTGTTCTCTCTGCTGTGCAGGTACACCTGGCTCCGCCTTCCCCAGGTGTTCCCAGTTGTCACTCAGCCGAGCTTGGCCCAGGTGTTCCCAGTTGCCAATCAGCCGAACATAAAAGAGGAGGCTGAAGGAGAAGGAGAGGCCGATCACTACTCCGGATCTCTCTGCTGTGTCAGAGCTCTTTGGCCTTTTTGTTGTGTTTCCTGGAGGACGTGTTAGGATTAGGTTTTCGCGGCTTTATTTCTCCCATTAGGTCTGTTGGATTTTGGGTAGCGGAGGAAGGCTCTGGATCCTACGGCCCGTGGTGTGGTTGGCCCAAGTCCCCTCCGTCTGTTTGTTTGTTTTACCTGTCCTCCAGTGGAATGACTAAGTATTGTGGCAATAAATATACGATTACAGTTTAGTGCCTACGTGTTGTTTACTTTTGTTTTATGTTGCGGACTGCCTCACGAGCCACTACTATTGAGTAGGGAGGCGGGTCGTAACACACATCCAGTCATTGATTTGTTCAATGCACTTACTCAGTGTTTGAATTGGAGCATAGTCTCCTGGTGAAATTGTTACGTACATTTGTGTGTCATCTGCATAGCTACAGATGAAGCACTCCAGATCAGACTCAGATGGGTGTGTCCCAGTCAAAAGCCCAGCGGATGCCAGTGGCTGGGGGTGTTGCCAAATTGCTAGAGGGCGTTGCCCAATTTCCCCATTTGTTCAATTACAGGATTTAACCATGAGATGGCACTTCATTCACAAAATACACAAAGACAACTGGGTGTTGATGAACTTAGTCTGTTTGCAATGTTTGCAGCTCTGCAGTTGTGTTTGCTGAATACTGTAGCATTTAATCACTTATTTGTTACTGTATGGTTTTCACAAGCTACTATAATGAAAAAACATCAATATTTTAGATCAAATAAAGTATATAGTCTGCTTTATGCAGTATATTTCTTGTAATATTGTTGGGGTGTTTTTACACAGTACAGTAGATTGAAGTAAATCAACTTATACATTAAGATAAGATGGACCTTTATTAATCCCGTGGGGAAATTCAGTTCAAACAGCAACAGGGTGAGAGTGAAAAACAGGACAGCACAGATTCACACAGATTAATACAATCAAAAATAAGATGAGCGATACAACAAATAATAATGAGAAACTATGAAATAAGAAATGAATAAAACTAAAATGTAATTATCATATATTATAATGTATTGTATTATTAAGTAATATCATACATTAACCCCATTATAGCAGATGCCACATTGAATGGATGAACACATTTATGCATCAATAATTACAGCAGAGTAATTAGAGTATTTCTAAATACAAGTTGTAAAAATACTTATATGGATTTAATATTAACCCGTGATCAGATCACATGACCTGTTCAAGCCGGTGCCGCATAAAAACAACAGTCCGGACAACATTGCCGTGTGTTTCTGTCGAAAGTACTGGCTTGAAACTATATCGCAGTCTTTATTTCATGCAAAAAGACCCAGTAAACACGGAGATGGAGATACGATGATATAAAGTTAATACATTTCAAAAGTATGAAAAATGGAAGCACATATTTTAATATCTTCGCCGTATTTGATCATTTTACGAAACGAAAAATACTGGAAACTGTAGATTCTGCTCAACAGGATGTATATGTGTATTTCTGTCGAAAGTACTGGCTTGAAACTATATGCCAGTCTTTGTTTCATGCAAAAAGACCCAATAAACACGGACATACGACGATATAAAGTTAATACAGATATATTTCAGAAGTGTGAATAATGGAAGCACATATTTTAATATCTTCGCCGTATTTTATCATTTTACGAAACGGAATATACTGGAAACTGTAGATTCTGCTCAACAGGATGTATTTACCAGGGAGGGGGTGAGGTAATCAGGTAAACGGAGTGATACGAAACGAGACGAAAAGAGACGAAGAGGGACGGCGGGAGACTTGAAGTAAAGTGAAAGACAAATATTGAGAATTTAGATATAGTTAGATAGATTTAGAGTTTTGAAGATTCAACTATGATGAACAGAACTCTGAACGTGAGTCAAGCTTTAAGCTTGTTTTTTGACATGGAGGAGGAGGAACCTGTGATGTTGCCCTCTGTGTTGTATTGACAGAAACCTCTTTGAAGCGTGGCACAGATAAAGACAGAAAAAACTGATTTTTGTACATAATGTGTATATATATATTTGTATTATATTTATAATAACACTTTTGCCTTATCAGAATGCTACCTCAATCAAACTTTCACATTATCATAGTGACATCCCATGTATATATTTCCAGCTTTTAAATGGTTTCGTTGTGTATGTTTGTGTTAGAAAAATAATATCATTTTCAAAATCTGTTTTTACGTTTTTTTTTGTAATTTTGGGTCCAAAATGTTCATATAGTAGAAGATCACTACTCTAAACAAAATCAAAAATCCTACATCCAAACGAAATAAATATAATTAATTATGATGAATACGTTAAGTCTTGTTCATTGTTTTTCACTTTTATTAAATGTTTGATATTTCCGGTGGAAATGGTGGACTATCGGACATTCAAAATGCAGCATATTTTCACTCTTACACACATATATATTCTCCTTTTACATACATACATTTTCACTCTTACATACATATATTCTCCTTTTACATACATACATTTTCACTCTCACACACGTATATATTTACACTCACACATTCATACATTTTGCTCTCATATTATCATATTTTAATGCACACATTCATATATTGTCACTCACACATTCATGCATTTTGTTCTCATATTCATATAATGTAATGCTCATATTTATACATTTTGCTCTCATGCGAAATCTACTAAAACAAAGTACGTCATGGTAGTGGTCAGCTGTTAAACACAAAGGTGTATTAAGGGCTGTAAATATAATAAGCCTGTTGTCAATTTTAGACACAGGCTTATTATATTTACAGCCCTTAATAACATTCATTTTCTGGACTCAATGTGTGTCTTGGCCGTTTTCTTTGTTCCAAGCAAACGAGTGCTTTTTGTTTTGAAATCACTTCCGCGGGCCTCCCCCCTCGCTCCACCGACCATTAGACCAACCATTTAGTAAGGTAAGGCGTGCAGGAAACTAAACCCACCTCCCCTGCACATGGGTCGACTGTCATGCCTGCCTACAACCAGTAGTGCTTATAAACACACTTTATAAAGTCAGGCAACACTAACCAGGCTTCGTGTGATTCTGTTTATTTGTACCTTACTTTGACCATCCGTTCACTGTTATTGATCATTGTGGAGAGAGGCAGACGTGTTGTTTTGTATTATAGCAGCTATCGGATGGAATCAATACATGGGCTGCACAGGTTGTCGTGTCCGACTATCACAAGTAAAATCATAATACAAATACGCTGGTAAAATGTGCCTGTAGAAAACGGTTTATGCCACAATACGATAGCAATAGCAAGTAGTCAGTTTAGCTTCGGTTGCTATGCTAACATCACCCATTTTATATCAGAGAAACTTTCATAACAGCGTTGTGATACCAAACAGCGTCAATCCAGACTGACACACATTCACTTAGGCTAAGGAGAACTGGGGATATGTATCAGCTGCTTGTGTGAGTCGGACAGTGAATACTTTAGAGCGGCCGCAGCAGTGTGAGCTAACCGGGAGCTAACGGAGGAGAATAAACTCCCGTGGAAGAGCAGCCAACAGTGCAGCGGTCGGTAAATGCTGCAGAAACACATTAATAAACAATGAACCACGGCACTCTGGAGCAAAGTATAAGGTTGGAGAAGTCGTTATTCAATTTATTCTGGCTTCGTGTGATTAAAAGCAACATGATCATCGACCCGACGCAGTTGTTGTTGTTGTGAGCGCCGTAATGCCGTTGGGGAGCAAATCAACGATGTAAACGGTGACGTCATGACGCAGCAGCGGCAGCACCAGTCGGGTGCTGGGCGGTGTGAACAGAGCGGGAGCAGAAAAGGGAAACCGGAGCTGAACCAGAAAAGCTCTAGCTCGGAGCTAGAAAGGGAAAAGCGCGGGTGTGAAAGCCGCATCAGACGCACTTCCGTTTACTTTTTTAATAAAGAAAAACAAATGGTCCGTAGATACACGGACTCATAGCCTATGTATGTATACTGTAAGGAGAATGTATGTGCGTGAGAGGACCAGTATGAATTACGGGATAGAAATATGCAAACACAAACCTACAGACTGGGGGATGGGAGATCACAGGAGTGTGTGGGGGGGGGGGGGGGGGGGGGGGGGGGGGGGAGAGCTTGGAATGTGACCCTTGGGAGAATTCCTCCACACATTCCGATGGCCAATAGGCTACATGCACTAGGGTCTGAGACGTCCTTCCGCCTTAGCCGTTATAGAGGCTTTGCATATGCCGGGACGTCAGCCCAACGGCCATACTGGAGTACCAAAACAGACACCGTAATACTCATACCTGTTTTTTATCGGACGTATAATGGTGAACTTCTGTACTATTGTTGGCTGCGGCAACAGAGGTGATCGAAACAGGGGGCCGAAGTCATTTTACAGGCTGCCGGTGGTTATAACACACCAGGGTGAAGCAATGTATGCACTTTCAAAGCGTCGACGGGAAACATGGCTCAATAGGATCGGACGGGAGGATCTCAAACCATCCAACCACAACTATACTCGCGTTTGTGGGGATCATTTCACGTCAGGTAAGTGTCAAGTTTTACATACAAACATTCAAAATCAACATACAACCCACGTACTAAGACATGTATCTTAACAAGGAAATATGAATCCTGGAGTCTGTGTCATCGATCGACATATCAGATTGTGGAGTATCTACAAAGTAGTCATCCATTGGCTCAGGTCATCTTCCCACCAGTCTGTCAATCCCCTGCAGTGCTTCATTTAACTGTAATTTAAAGTAATTCCTCCCCCTACTGGCCATTTGATTATATGTAAACAGTAAAGGCTGTACAGTCCCTGGTATCTTTTCAGAGGCTTTTGGTTTCCTCAATTATTTGTCATGTTCCAATGTCTTGACACCAGCATTTTAAATATATCTAAAGTCTGACTTCGCCTGTCAAAAGAGGTCACATTTGTATTAATTAACAGTTCACCCAGGATATAACTGACCTACAATCTGATTTATTTGCAGGTAAACCAGTGACAAAAATCATCCTGACTGGGCACCGTCTGTCAAATTGGGCCACGAGAAAATTACAGCACCTTCCCCTGCTACACATGCCAGGTATAAACGCGCCAGAAAAAGGTCATCCATCGCACCACTTGATCTCCACAGCATGGTATCTGATATTCCATCTCCAGAAGAGCCCGCACCAGTCCTGGGAGCCACTGGGGAAGAAGAAGGACTGATTGAACCAGAGACTGGCACTGCAACTCAGACTGATTTGACTGGTGAAATGATTGACAAAATGTCATTTGAAATTAATAATGTTACAACAGAAAATGTTAATGTTGTGGAATATTTTCCAAGGCCCATAACTTTGACCCAGTGTATCAGTTCAAACTGTCCTGACTGAGCACAGGCACCTGTAACCTTGGCTGCTGTGCTCTCAGTGTTTTGTCTCCCTGTTCCTGCCTGTTGGCGTCAGCTGATAGAGGTGTTATCATTCTATCTTGTTATGCAGCATGTTGATGATGCTCTCTGAACTAGTTAAATACATGGGTCTGGGGTAGAGTTCTTCAGAATTGACGTGGCAACTCTACCGTGAAGTCAGAACCTCTGACTCTTGGACTTGTGATGTGAATCCTCCGGCCGTTAACTCCAAATAAACCATCATGTGTTTGACATCAAAGCTACTGCTCTTCCCGTGTCTCCTTCCTGAGTCGGTGACTCCCACTGCATAGCTACACAGAAGTTTCCTCTACAGTTAACTTAAAAGAAAAGCTTGTAAAGTCCACAATTTCAGAGAGTACATTTAAGGGCGATGATGACCGTGTGCGGTTCTACACGGGACTTCCTACTTTTGCCATTTTAATGATGGTATACAATCTTGTGGAACTGCACATCAGTGTGAATGCTAAGAGTTCACTGTCTAAATTTCAACAGTTTATACTGACACTAATTAAATTAAGATTAAACGAACCCCTGCAAGAGCTGGCTTATAAATTCAACACATCCACGTCTACAGTATCCCGTGTGTTTACCTTGATTATCGACGTCATGTTCAAACGTATGAGTTTCCTTTTGAAGTGGCCATCTCGAGAGGAACTCCAACTGACAATGCCTATGGATTTCCGCACTCATTTTGGTACTAAAGTGGCTGTTATAATAGACTGCTTTGAAGTTTTCATTGACAGGTCATCAAATGTAATGGCACGGGCTCAGACTTGGTCAAACTACAAACATCACAACACCATCAAATTTCTCATAGGAATCTGTCCGCAGGGTGTTATATCATTCATTTCAAGGGCATGGGGTGGCAGGTCCAGTGATAAGCATATTACAGAAAATTGTGGCTTCTTAGATAACATTTTGCCTGGTGATTTGATTTTGGCAGACCGAGGTTTCAATATAAGTGACTCAGTGGGTTTCATGTGTGCTGAGGTTAAGGTGCCTGCATTCATGAAAGGCCGGAAACAATTATCAATGAAAGATGTTATTGACACAAGGAAAATTGCTAACGTGCGAATTCATGTTGAGCGTGTCATAGGATGTGTAAGGCAGCGATATACCATTTTGGGAGGACCAATTCCTATAGATTTTTTACTTTCTAAAGATGTAGATGGGATTACATTGATGGATAAAATAGCTGAAGTGTGCTGCGACCTGAATAATGTGTGTGATACTGTAATACCTGTTGATTGAGCCTTTACATTCTGTTACACCCCAATCAACCCATATCAGATTGAAAAATATGATATGTTTGTATTGTAATTATTATTACATTATTGTCAATGTTGTACTTGGTCAATTAAATGTCTTGATAATCAGAAAAGTGATTTTGGGTTTGGTTGTGTAGGGGAATGTTTGAAAAATTATTTAAGATGTTTTCAGGCATGGAAGATTAATGTTTTTCTCTCAAGTTTTCTATTGTCAGATTGGACACATCCCAAATTGCTTGAATGTGGTTTCAGACCTACACTGCGCACAGTAATAGTACTGGTAGAATATTCAAGCTTGGGTAAATACATTTTGAAAAAAACAATTGAAAGGGCAAAGTATTATATTTATTACAGGTTTCCAATTTACCCATTGAAAAAGGGTGAAAAACAAGTATGCTCCTTTAACTGTAAGCTGCAGAGATCACCTCACATAAAAGAGATAGATTAACATTGTGTCCATATTACAGTTTTTTTCAATGCTAAAACACATTTTTTGAAAGCAGGGCTTATTTTCTCAAAACACATTCACAAAACCATACACACAAACTGCAAAACACCTCATATATACTGCATATATAATCACATAAATATATACACTGTCATTCAGATTGTTTAATACTTCTGTTTCTTTTGAGAGGGGACATGCTGATGACATTTGTCACAATACCAGCTTCCTTTGGGGGCAACTGTTATACCAACACATTCAAAATGAAACCAGGTAGTTTCACAATTTGTGTTATCACATCCTATCATGGGAAGCTTTTCCTCTCCACGACAAAAGCACCATTTGGGTACCAGTGGTTGGGTATCGGTTGGCTGAGTCAGAGTGGCACATACAGCAGGGTCTGGTATCAGGCAGAGAGGCCTTTTTGGTGCAGTAATGGAGACTGGTGTAGTTGCAATGGAAATTCTGGTGAAGAATTGCCCACTCAACTCGAGGAGAATGACCTTCTGAAAGAATTCATGAGCTTTGGGGTATACCTTCTCCAAAAAGTCAATATCTGGGGTTATGCGTTCAAGATGAATCTTTCCATTCACCCACAGAACAAAGTCAGCATATTCAACATCACATAGAAATAACTGGGTCTGCACTTGATAGAAATAGGCATGGGTCTTCTTCAGCCTGTCCTGTCCATCACGTGATTCCAGACATGTATGGTCTGACGGTGCAGCAACAGAGTAGGGGCATTTAATTTCCAAAACACCTACACCACAGCACTTGCAGGACACAACACCATCTGGAGTAGCACCTAAATATGGAAATGTTGGCGATAACCAGGGTGGGAATTTCACGACGGCCACGACGGCCATGGCCGTCGTTGCCCCGCACTTTGGCCGTGATGCCCTGTGAAAAAAAATGCAATTCACGGCCAAAGTGGCCTTGGTGCCCCTGTCAAAAGTTCAAGTGTAAACAACGCTAGTAAAGTCATATTAGTGTGCGCAGTAGGATAGTCCCGGGCGATGCCTGTGTCCTGTGGATCAGAGCGATTGCTCTGCTGTGATTGTTCCGTCAGAAATGCCTGTAGGGGCCCGACAGCCTCCTCCTCAGCCGCGGGAGCAAGACAAGCACAGGTAAGCAAGCGGACCAAGCTGTTTTGATATTATTTAACTGAAGTATGTGGTAGTATTTGAAAGGACTTAACAGTTACGTGTTTATAGAAAGTACTATTGATAGGTAATTACCATTGTATTAGCCTATTTAAAGTTGACTCGTTACATTTTGTCATGAAAACTAGCGATAGCTAGCTAGTTTGGATAGCGCTAACGTCTTCCCTTCAAGGGGTCTACATCTAGTGTTGCTTCTACAAGCTAGCAGATAGCTGTCACCTTTGAATCTAGTATTTTTCTTGCCAAGCGGTTTTGATATAATACATGACTGACTTATGTGGTTTATGGCTGAACTTAACGTATACGTTAAAGAAACACTATTGCTATTCAGCCATTTGTAAAACGACTGGTGTTGACGTTAGTGCTACACTTTTCAGTCATGTTGATTGACCAGCGTAATTTAACCAAACGGCCTTTGTGCCCTGTCATGTGGCCTTTGTGCCCTTGAAAAAAATGTGAACGGGAAGGCCAAATGGCCTTGCCCCTAAAATGACGAAATTCCAAGCCTGGCGATAACACGAGCCCAGAGTCCTGGCAAATGAAACTGTCATGTTGATTCATAATTGTAATGTAATCTTCACGTGCTGATTTCTCGTGATTACATCCCCATTCAGTAGCTGCAGTTTTACATTTTGTGGCTTCTGGGTAACAAATAGCTTTAATCAAGCTAAGCGATGGTTTAGTTGCACTTGTTGAACATGCTGCCCTCATACGAGATGCTGTAATCCGCCCAGCTCTGTATCGATACCAGAGTTTGGATTTGGCCTGTGTTTTTGTGGCCTTCTCAATGACATCCGCCTCCGGCTTGGTGATAGCTACATTGATCCCATGGCAATGTTCTGTAAGGGCTTTATGGTCCATTTCTAGGCAGTTCTCACTTTTTAAACTAGAAAGCGGCTTAGGAAATGTTGACAAAGTCACTTTTGGGACAAAATCGGCATTGTGTGGAGCTGAGATTGTCAATATTGCACACTTCCTTCCAGTAGATTTCAGTGATGCCAGGAAAGACTGTTGCTCAGCATCTGTCGCTTTTGGAATTTCCCTCGAGTGACGTAAAAGTGTTGTTGTTGTTGTTGTTGTTAAATTAGCTGCATCATCAAGACTGTCAATTGCTTGGCTTAAACGATTCCTTCGGGTTTTAGCCGAAGTAAAGTCAATGTCAGCAACAGGGGAAGGTGTTACATCCTTCACTGATCCAGGTAGAAGCCAATACGCCTTTTCCTGGGTAACTGTCTTGGCATCACGTATCCGTACAGATGTTTCTATGTAGAACAGGAGAGATGTAACATGGGTACATGTCGATCCCAAACCAGCCTTGCAGTTGCAGTTAGCTGTGATGACTGCACCATCCTTCTTCATCAGTACCCACGGACATGTTGGCGGCAGCCCAATACTCTGAGAATGCAATACCTGAAAAATAAAATACAAAAATATTATTGGATTGTTGACTATTTAGAACCACCAATATTTTGGTCCAACTTTACTTTCAAATACTGATTGTTTACACAACCAGTGGGTGGTCAGCTCTTGTCATATTCCTATGCTAGGTAGCCCATAACAGAAGCTGACAACCAAGAATAGGTTCACAACTTTTGTAATTTAAATATATTGCAATATATAATAAAGCTTTAGTTATAAAGACCTTTTCATAAAGCATGTGTAGCTCAAAGTGCTTTACAAAATGGCACACATCACAAGTTAAAAATAAACCACAAGAAATTCCCCTCAGATCAGATGTTAAGACCTTTACAGGTACATGCAGCATAGCAACAACATATAACATTTTAACAGGTTAAGAGACACGAGGAGGTAAAAGGTATGATAATACAAATAAATAATAAGACACAAGACTAAGTTTATTGATGCAACAATATCCCTATAAAATAAAGTAGACGTATAGCCTATAGGTACAACAAAAATAAAAGCTGGTGTTTAAAAATGTCCACTGAGTTGGCCTCTGATATTTCTTGGTAGCGTAGTGGATACAAGCAGCCTCACCCATTTTATTTTGGGGGACTTTAGGGATATTTAAAAAGCCAGCTGAAGAGGACCTCACGAAATATTTACTCACTTTTCCAGCTATTACAGCCACATCTCCTTGATATGCAACGCAAACGTCGCGGATCCACCCGGATGTGAACTGGTTATGTGCATCGAGTCCTTTCTACGCCTTCATTTCCTCCATGGTGTACAACGGAATAGGCGAAAAAACCAGGTAGTTCACGATATCACAGTAGGAGAGTGAAGGCCATGAATTTATGTCGGTGCTGTAATCCTTAACGGGAATCAAATAAGGGTCCACCGAACCAATCGACGCACATTTGTCTCTGTAAACGGTCTTATCCTCCGGGTTTAGTGATTCGTAGTAGCCTTTCATTTTTGCCATTTTTGAACGCTGCCGCCAGTGGAGTGGTACTCCAAGATGTCTGCCGCGAAATCCCGTGACGTCATTAGGAAGCCTCTATACTGCTCGGACGCTTCCGGGTTGCTTCTGGTCTGCGTAGCTGAGCGTCCACAAATGTTTTACTGTTTAAATCTGTGGTTTAAATATGAGTCGACGGAAGATTTTCAAAACGGAGCATTTGCAAAGACAAGTAAAGAACTACTCCGAGCACTGCTGTGTCCCACTTTGTACGGCGTCAGCTAAATTCAACGGCGTCCTAAGTTTCCATGGCTTTCCGACCGAACTCGAGCTGCGAAGACAGTGGCTGGTTAAATTACGACGCGATAACTTTACAATCTCCTCTCACTCCAAGGTCTGCAGTCGTCACTTCGCTACGGATCAACTAATAGAGCCAAAAACCCTTGATGGCCGTAGGAGGCTTGTGAAAGGTGCTGTCCCAACTCTGTTTGAGTGGAATCACTTCACTGCTCAAACACTGCGGGCTAGTGTTTGGGAGAGAAGGGAGCGGCCCACTGAACCAGTCTCTCGGGAGGAGCAGGAAGAGCACATCGATGTCCGCAGGGTCGGCTCTAGAACAAATCAAATGGGGAGGCAATCATTTACCAAGGGGGGGGCACATACTGCCGTCAACAACCAACACACAAACACCAACGCAACTTCAATTTAAAAAAACATGCTGTAAAGTTTATTGTCTTTCCCACACATTGCAGGGGTGTAGTGCTATTTTATAGCACACCTATGACTTGTGCATACATGCACGGTTGTGGCACGATCACCAAAACAGAAACATATGGACATAGGCCACCATATGAAAAGTGTGCAAATGTATTTAGTATCCTATCCATGTGAACATGTTTTAGGTGGGGGTGGACCTAACCTCCTCTAGGAGGGTCCGGGGGCATGCTCCCCCGGGAAGATTATTTTTAAAATATTGAAGTTAAAAGCATCAATCTGGTGCACTTTGAGAGCAAAATTAAGAGATCTATGGATAGTCTACATCTCTCAGCATCCATATGAAACAGAACTGTAAACAGATTTACTTTTTCTTTATGGATATTTTACTAATCACTCCTCTTTTAAATGGTATTCTTGTGTTACTGTCCTATAGTATTTCATACCCGTTTTTCATTTATTCTCTTATTCTTTAATAACTATAATGATCATATAAAGGTAGCCTATTCCTCGCAAATACTTGTTTACATAAATGGTCACCAAACCGTTTGAGACCCACTGAGATAACTTACACTAAAGTGAACTATCTAAACACTGAGAGTCCTTTACCTCACTGAGCTGACGTTATAAGATCCTCTCAGTCTGACAGGAGAGGACTCTCCTCCACCTTGGTGTAGAAACAGCTCTTTATATCCGTTAGCATAGCTAGCTAACCAGATGCTAACAACAATATTCCACGTTACCGCTCGCGCACTGACAAAATGCGCTCGTGCCACACACAGAGAGCCGAGCTTGAATGAAACACAGAGACCCATGTACTTGTACTGTACTGTATATCATATTATTTTCGATGGCTTTACTGTATAATCAGTATAACAGATGGACAGATCGCCACTGGGCTTTCATCTAAACACACAGCCACGTAATGATAACAAAACAAAAGTCGGGGTCATTGGTCAAGCAACACATCAATCAGAGAGCAGCAGTGAGCACACCTCAGGCTGTGTTTCATATAAAGAATAAATAAAGAATACAAATGTGTATTCTTTATTTCTGATGTATTTCACACAAAAAACTTTTGGTGGAAACGTTTTAACTTATATGATTAAAAAAAAAACGGCAAAGTGGCAATAAGGCTTGCCCACCCTGCGTTGGGGGGGCACAGTGACTCATTTGGGGGGCATGGCCCGCGAATGACCCCCCATGACGCCGACCCTGGATGTCCGTGACCATGATTACTGCTCAACCCCTGAACCAGCTTCACTGGACATGTCCTCTCAAGCTACAGAAGACAACTCCAAAACATTGGAGGATCTGCAGAAGCAACTGCAGGAGTTAAGAGTCCAGCGAGAGTTTTGCTTAAAGCGGTTTGCTGGCTCCGACGACAACATCCGATTCTATACCAGGTAATGTTTTGGCTAAATTCTATCCAAGTTTTTGAGATGGGTTAGCTTATAAAGAATCCTGTTTACCTGCCGTTTGACTGCTGACTATTTGCATGCAGTGTTGGAATAAGTAGGCTACTCAACTTAACTGAAGTATAAGTACAAATACTATGGTTTGAAAATACTTCTGAACTGAACATGTAGAATCATAAATCATGTGTTTTCATAAGTAACTAGAAACTATGAAGGTTAACTAAATGTGGTGGAGTAAAACATACTAATACTAACAACATACTGATAATACTTTACTACAAGTGGAAATCTTCAAAACCTTACCAAAGTAAAAGTACATGTCAATATCCACTGCGTTTCTCCCAGTTGCACACTTAAGAATGAAGAGTACAAGTAGTCATTCTGTGTAAAATGTTCCCTGTATGTTTTAGATTATTATTACTGCTGCTTTAATGTAGTTGTTACATGTTACTGCTGTATATTACTATACCTGCACCAAGTGCCTTCTTAATCAGTCTATTTGAATTGTAATGTATTATAGCAAACAAGAGGAAAGCATTAGCCCATGTGTTACAGTTAACGAGTCAACTAATGACTGATACGTGTCTTTTGTGTACAGATTCCCGAGCTATAACCACCTGATGGCCTTCTGGTTTTTGATTGAGCCTTCCATTTATAAAATGGTTCATGTTACAAGAGCGATATCAGCTGCCAAGAGGAATGAAGAAGTGGTTACACACGCACGTCCATCAACGGTAGGCTACGTTTCTTTTAACACACAATCTAAACACTAGTGCTGGGGGGAAACGATTATTTTGAAAACGATTAATCGGGCGATTATTTGATCGATTAGTCGACTAATCTAACGATTATTTTTCTGTTGTTCAATTCATAAAAAACGTAATGTGTCTCAGGGGATCTTAATATTTAAGAACCTATTAATGTGTTATACCAGATTAACGGAAATAATCTCAGCTAACTGACGATACAAACCATGTTTACCAAAACAAAACACAAGTCTCATAAGAAGCATCTTAATGACCCCTGAGCGAAAAATGCTAACGGACATTGGCACAGAACTCAAGATAAAAGTACCCTTATTACTTATCGTAGCTGCACATACAATATATCCGATTAAAGCTGAGACTCCACAGATTATGTAGGTATATAGTATCATCACTGAGTGATCCGGACTCGCGACAGGGGAAGCAAATACAGTCATCACAACACGTACCTTCACAGAGCTTCTCGGGAGATCGTCTCACCACCGTAATCTGATCAAAAAACGTGTTCAATGGCAATAAAATGAGAAAAAACGCGGCTGAATCGGTTAATCCATAGGTTTTTAACGTCTATGTATAAAAAAATGATTGAATTTATAATCCATAATTCCATTTTATGTAAAAATCGGAGAGCAAATGCTAGCTGCTAATGGTAGCCACCACAGCTAGCTGCTGCTTCTGCTAGGCTATGCAGCAGTCTCAGTGAGATATAAATATATAAATATCTTTGCGTTTTGGACTAACTTTAAAATATTCCCATGCTTTTGAAGACCTAGGGCGAGATGTTTTCGTTTGGGGGCTTCGTGCGCAATCCTGCGAGGAGGAGGTGGTAGCCGTTTCAGTCTCCATTGTGTTTGAAGTGCGATTGCGAACTGCTTGTTGCTTTGGGTGACCCACGTGTGTGTAGCGACGCGTCGACGCGGAAATATGTCGTCGACGATATTTTGAAGTCGTCGACACGTCGCTACAGCACTACTAAACACAAACTGAAGGGAAAATGTTTCTCCAACATTTCATTGCTTTCGTGTAGGCTAAAAGGCTATAGTACTCAATCCTTTTTGAATACATCAGAGAACTAAAACAACTTAATTAATATAGTATATTAATATAGTACCCTTTTTTTGTTTATCTTCCAGAGACAGCTGCTTCAGCCAATTGACGAGTTCTTCCTTTTTCTCTGCTTCCTGTCGGTGGGTTTGAAAGAGAGGGACCTTGCAAACCGCTTCAACGTACACCAGTCCACTGTGAGCCGCATCATTGCAACATGGACGAGTTTTCTTACAACTTTATTGGGGTCACAGTAGGGCTGTGCAATTAATCGTATTTTAATCGCGATTACGATTACTGTTTGTGACGATTATGAAAACAGCATAATTGACAAAATACGATTATTTTGCTGGGTGTGCTTTCGCCCCTCCCTAAAAGCCCACTCGGCCACGTGGGAGTGACATGTGTTCAGCGCGAGCGAAGATGTCAGAACAAGAGCAGCAACTCGTTAAAAATAAGGGTCGCGGGGAGATTCCCAGTCGATCGCGAGATGTGTCAAAAAATAGAACAACAATATTCTGTTTTATCGTTAATGTCCTATAACATAATCTTCCTGTGCCAGAATAATGCACTTGAACGCATCAAAGCTTTGTGATTGGCCGGCGTGGCTGGTGGGCAGTGGGCAGTGCAGTGCAGTGACAGTCCGCACACACACAAGACCACAATTATGGCAGAAGCAAAAAAGCCCAAAATATATAATTTTCACTCCGAGTGGGAGGATGATTATTTTTGTATCTATTCCAATTCAAAGTCCATCTGTCTCATCTGCAATGCGAGCGTGGCTTTATCGAAGAAGGGTAATTTAGGAGCGGCATTTCAAAACAGTGCACAAACGCTACGAGACGGAATTCCCTCC